ATTGTTGCCACACTGACTCCAAGGAAATGATCTCCATGAGAAATACACTGAGCTCCACAACTGTAATCACCTGAAATGGAAATGAGATCAGTCTTAGATGGTTGGTTAAGTGCTCAAACACGCTGCCCTCCTTATGCCATTTTAATCAAAAAGGCAAACCACTCTTGCACATCTATGGCATCTTCAAGTAGGTGCAAATGTAATGTTTGTCAGGAGGCTATATGTTTCTGTGCTTTTTGTGGCTAGGATGGCTATGTTCTTCTACTCTACTAACTAACTGGCATGAGGAAAAGAGACAAGCTACAGAAGCTCATGCTATCACACCTGAAGATGGTTAGTCTTAAATACTACTATCATTTTGAGTGAGAAAAGTTAAAAAATAAAATATGAAGATTACAAGGGGCTAAATATTCCAAAATAAAAGGCTGGATGGAAATGTATTAAGACCAGTCTTCTGACAGCATTTTCACTGAACAGCATTTTCCTACACATGCCAGAGGTGCTGTCGGTGTGCTGAGGTGGCAAAAGGCTCACAAGTCCTCCTAGACATGAGTCGTTAAGCTGGAACCTATTTTGTTGCTTGAGGTTTGTGTCATTCGAAACAATCTAATCCCAAGATAAGAAGATGGTCAGGAACAAAGTGGATTTATCAATCACAAAGCATGCTTGACCAGCCTGATAGCTTTCTATGGTGAAATGGCTCACTGTGTAGCGGGGCGGGGGAGATAGCGGTGGGTATGTGCGGTATATACTTGACTTCAGTAACGCTTTTAACACTGTCTTCCACAGCATTGTCTTTTGGAAGCTGGAGAGGTCTGAGCTGGATGAACAGTCTCTGGTAGGTTGAAAACTGGCCAGACTAGTGAGGGCAAAAGGTAGTGATCAATGTCTTGAATACGGGTCAACAATCCAGCTGATGGCAAATGAGGAGTGTAGTACCCTGGGGATCAATACTAGGGCTAATGTGGTTCAATTTCTTCACTAGTAACATGAACATTAATACAGAATGCACCCTCAGGAAATCTGCAGGCAATAGTAAGTTAGGGGAAGTGGTAAATATACCAAACAGCAGAGCTTTAATCCAGAGCGACCTTGAGAAACATGAGGATTGGGCCAACAGAAACTTCTTGAAGGTCAGTGAGAAGTGCAAAGCTCTTTGCATGAAGTGCACTGTCATTGCAAATGATGCAATATCATTCAACTTATTCATCAGTTCACCTGGATAAAGGGACAGAGTACATCCTCAGCAAGTTTGCTGATGATACAAGACTGGGGGGAAGAGGCTGACACACCAGAAGGCTGTGCTGCCATTCTCTCTGCCTCGACAGGCTGGAGAGCTGGGCAGAGAGGAACCTCATGAAGTTCAGCAAAGGCAAGTGCAGAGGCCTGCACCTAGGGAGGAAGAACCCCATGCACCAGGACAGGCTGGGGGTTGACCTGCTGGAAAGCAGCTCTGCAGAGAAGGGCCTGGGAGTCCCGGTGGACAACAAGTTAAGCAGGAGCCAGCAACATGCCCTTGTGGCCGTGAAGGCCAATGGTCTCCTGGGGTGCATTAGGCAGAGCGTTGCCAGCAGGTGGAGGGAGGTGATCCTGGCCCTCTACTCAGCCCTGGTGGGGCCTCACCTGGAGTACTGTGTCCAATTCTGGGCTCCCCAGGACAACAGACTGGACAGAGTCCAGCGGGGGGCTGGGAAGATGATTAAGGGGACTGGAGCATCTCTCCCATGAGGAAAGGCTGCGAGAGCTGGAGCTGTTTAGGCTGGAGAAGAGAAGACTGAGGGGGGATCTGATCAAGGTGTGCAAGTATCTGAAGGGAGGGTATCAAGAGGATGGGGTCAGACTCTTCTCCGTGGTGCCCAGTGACAGGACAAGAGGCAACGGGCAGAAACTGAACCACAGGAAGTTCCATCTGAACCTGAGGAAAAACTTCTTTCCTGGGAGAGTGACTGAGTACTGGATTGGGTTGCCCAGAGAAGCTGTGGAGTCTTCATCCTTGGAGATATTCAAAACCCGCCCAGATGCAATCCTGTGCCATGTGTTCTAGATGACTGTACTTGAGCAAGCGGGCTGGACTAGCTGATCTCCAGAGGTTCCTTCCAACCTGAACCGTTCTGTGATTCTGTATGATTTTTGAAAGAAATATTGGCTCAACTTTAGCTTTTAAAATTTAAAAACTAGTTTTAAGTTATACATATTACTCCTACTATCCATCAGTAAAAACCCTGAAATATTACCATATCTGTAGGCATGAGAGAGCTAGGTTTCTCTGAGCTTTTTTAAAATTATATAGTTTGAGTTTTGCTAAATGAGAGCCAGAGATACACATCCATCTACTGTAGAAGTATTTAAACACACATACACTTTCTCTCATTTCAAAAAAATGCTCAGATAACATATTTTACCTTGTAGTTATAGCAGGCTAATAGTGCATCCCCTCCTACAGTGCCTCAACTGAGTTGCTAAGCTACGGTTAAGTCCATTGCTTTCGGTTATGTACCTTTATCGTACAAATATGAACAGCTAACACACCAAAACAATTGTAACTTTGCCTCAAGAATGACTTGGAGAGTACGAGCTGAAATTCTGACGTAAATGATAGTTCGTAAATTAGCACAAACCTAAGCCGTGGAGGTAGGCAGATAAGGCCAGGTTTCTTCCAGATCCCAGCTGAATTAGGTAGGGTGTTTCTGCAGAGTGGTCTGGTTTTGGGGTTGGAGAAAGCCCGGTATGATAAGCCCACCCTCCCTCAGAGCAAGGTGGAGATGGTAGTGGGTGGGAAAGAATCATCCTTTTCTTTCCCAGGCTATAACCAACATTGCATTTTTATAACCATTTTCAGAGACCAGTAAAGGATGGTGCGTTGTTCGAGTAGCATCTGGGTGAAGAGAGATACTAGGAAGGGTAAATGGGGATGAGAGGAGGGATAATGTGCAGAGAAAGAGAGGAAGCACAAAAGGGATGGCTGGAGCAAATAGGGTAATATCCTCCGGAGGCAGCTTCTCTCCCTGCCCTTTGTCAGCTCTGGCTCCATCAAGGGAAGCAAAGGGGAGTGGTCCTGTGCCATAGGTGCTCCCAGCATGGACAGAGCTGGTGAAACAAGCGATGCTGGGTTGCCGCTTCCTTGGAATAACTTGCAGATGGCAAATTCCTGGCTGCAGGTGTAGCAAAAAAGTCTTGAGATGCTCCTCTCCCACACAGGTCTTTTTGGAAATTTTCTCTCCGCTCTCCCGTTGTAGATGTGCCTTTAAGGGTTAGGTAGGCAAGTCCTTTCTGCAGCAGGGGATAGTGGGTGCTGGCCCAGGGCTGAGTAACAAGACAACAGATCTTTTTGAAGCCTGATTTGATTTGTATCTTGATAGGAAAATAAATCTCGCCCTCAGCACCAAACTATTCTTTCATTGAGAGGATGCTGCTGGTGAATGATGTGTTCCTCACTGATAAATGTGGGATTTCCTGTGCCTCAAGTTATTTTGTTTGTCTTTGGTGTTTATGTTTCAGCTTTGTGAAGTTATCTCTCTGGGGAAGGCCCACAAATCCAAATGTGACAGTAAAATGCTGCTTTACCCGGGTGCTTGGGCGAGCACAGATAGCTACGCTTCCACAGGCACGCTGTTCCCCTGTTTGTCTGTTTAGCTGTTCATTTTATAAACCAGCAAACCCCTTCACAAGGAAAAGGTGAACAAAACTTGGGAGGGTGAAGAAAACTGCCGTTTACTGGCTCTTGTCTCAGATACAGTCTTGTCTACAGCCTCCCTGGTAGGTGACTGCATTCACTCATTCAAACACCTTCTTTGTAAACTTTACACTCAGATGTAATGACTGATTCCTCCACAGCTTTAAAATGTACCTATATTTTAGTCTTTGTTCAGGATTTTTGGATTTTAATTTTCAGTTGCAGTACTTGCAAGAGGAATAGCAAAACAGCTTTTGCCTCTGTCTCTTTGTAGTCATTTGGCATTTTTTCCTCCTCTGTCTTGAGGGCTTTCCCTGGCAGAACTCACAAAAGCTGACTTTCAGCTCCTGTCAGGTAAGCACAGAGACACCCTTGGGATGAACTGTTCTGGGATTTATTAATGTCTTGGTATCATTACTGGTGTCTGAGCCATGTTTCTCACAGGCTGCAACTTTGTCTCCCAGTGCTTTCCTTCATCTACTCTAACTACTGACTTTTCTTTTTCTGCTCAGCATGCTAATTTCTGATGATGACAGGGCAGCTACAATTAACTCTGTCATCTCTTCCTTCCTGGAAATAAGATAACCAAGAGGAATATTACCTGGGCAAAAACTATTTTCATTGGGATATTTTACTCAGCTGTTTGTGATTCGTAGAAGACCTCCCGAAGAGTAGCCCTGCTCTCTTTTTGGTCCTTAGATGGCCTCCATTTCTAAAAATTAAAAAAAATACAAAATTACAACAAGCTTAGAAAGCTTGTAGCCAACTCTACGTCTTGCAAATGGATAATTAAGGCATAGAAAAGTTAATGAATGGTGGTCTGGAAGAGAGAGCCAAGAGGACATGAGTATTCTCTTGCTTTCTAGTGCTTTTGCCATTTTACCACACATACAAAGTGAAGCAACTTTATGTCACAGAAGGGAAGAGTAAATTACAGTCCAAAAATAGAAGCCATTAGTGCAACTGCAGGAATTTTGTAAGATTGCTAGTACAGTTGTAGCTGTAAGGAGAGAAATTGATTATATGAAAAATCCACAAAATAAGCATTAAAATACTATTCTGAAAAGTTCAAGTGAAACAAATTTGCAGGAGCACATCTGATTTCCTGTAGCTATTGGAAGCTGGTGTTGCATCTGAATCCGCTGTGCTGTGCGGTGTTTCAGAGCAGCTCAGAAGCAGCAGCCCCTCGACTTTCCGCAGCTCCCGAGCCCCATTGGCTGGGAGGCAAAGCAGAGGCGGAGAGTACCCCTGAATATTTTTCTCCTCCACACACCATAAAACAGGCAGCCAGCGTGCACTGCCTGACAGCGAGAGTGGTGCTTGCAGTTTGAAATTAGTTTCTGCTTGGCAGCAGTCACTTGAGGATTTTCTCTCTTAGTGGAAGGGAAGGAAAAAACCCTGCAGCATGTAACTGAACTAAATGGGAACTGAATGTAAGGGAGAATCTGATGCAAACTTACAGCTCGTTTTTGGGACTCAGTGACATAGATAACCAGGGTAAATGCGATGATGGTCTATGCATCTATGAGAGAGTAAACCAGCATTTCTGAGTTTTTAACCTTCCTTTGTAGTAGCAGTTAAAATGTTCTGATCTACGTTCTGCCTTGGTGCTGGCTTTTTTTTTTTTCTTTTTTTCCCCCACTGAAAAGCCAAAGGAGGATTTCAAAGGGATGCAAAAAGAACAGCTTTAAAAGCAGGAGGGTGAAAGGGGCTCTCCATAAGATGAATTTCACCCAGCAGCGTGGGACGCTCCAGCCTCTCCACTTCTGGAACCACAGCTACGCACCGCATGGAGGTGCCAGCGAGCCGAACGCCAAGGGCCACTCCTCGGGAGGCTGCTATGAGCAACTCTTTGTTTCCCCTGAAGTGTTTGTGACTCTGGGCATCATCAGCTTGCTGGAGAACGTCTTGGTCATTGTGGCAATAGCCAAGAACAAGAACCTCCATTCGCCTATGTACTTCTTCATCTGTAGTTTGGCAGTGGCTGACATGCTAGTGAGTGTATCCAACGGATCGGAAACTATCGTCATCACGCTTCTAAACAACACCGACACAGACGCACAGAGTTTTACCATAAACATTGACAATGTCATTGACTCAGTGATTTGCAGTTCCCTGCTTGCATCAATTTGCAGTCTCCTCTCAATAGCAGTGGACAGGTATTTTACTATCTTTTACGCCCTCCAGTATCATAACATCATGACGGTGAAGCGCGTAGGGGTTATCATTACATGCATCTGGGCTGCTTGCACAGTGTCAGGCATTTTGTTCATCATTTACTCTGACAGCAGTGTTGTCATCATCTGCCTTATCAGCATGTTCTTCACCATGCTCATTCTCATGGCCTCCCTCTACGTCCACATGTTCATGATGGCCCGGATGCATATTAAAAAGATTGCAGTTCTTCCGGGAACTGGCCCAATTCGCCAAGGGGCCAACATGAAAGGGGCCATCACTCTCACCATCCTGATTGGAGTTTTTGTTGTGTGCTGGGCCCCATTTTTCCTGCACCTAATCTTCTATATCTCCTGCCCCTACAACCCTTATTGTGTGTGCTTCATGTCCCACTTCAACTTTTACCTCATCCTCATCATGTGCAATTCCATCATTGATCCACTTATCTACGCGTTCCGGAGTCAGGAGCTCAGGAAAACATTCAAGGAGATTATATGCTGCTGTAGCTTGAGAGGGCTTTGTGATTTGCCCGGCAAATATTAAACGGAGATGGATACCTTACTGTGCACCCACCACGTAGCAGAGACTTCCAAGCCTTCAGATCCTCTTTCTCGACAGAATGTGGGCTATATCTTTAACAGTGAACAACTCTCTGTCTCTCCCCTCCTTCCCATGCTTGTATCCCATTCATGTGTAATTCATATTTCTGTATAGTATTTGTGATATCTGCAGCTTGTAATTTATTTGACGGGGAAGAGAAGAAAAGTAACACCTCACACCGGTTTGTAAGTAAGCAAATAAATGTAAAGACAAATGTGAAATATTAACAAACATGAGCAGCTGTATATTCCAACTGCTGAAAAAATAAATAACTTGCCTGACTTACAGTACGTATTGGCTGATACTGTTCTTTATTCTGTTGATGTAATTATAGCTATCTGTTAAATTATATTCAACTTAAAATAGAACATTTGTTTTTCTGTTAGCGCATTAGAAGTTCTCTAGAATTAGGAAGTAGATTTTCCATAAAGGTTACTGGGACCGAGGAGTTGTGTTCATTCATTTTGAAATCTTTTCCCTTCTATTCTGAAAGCAGCAATTCTGTTCTTTGTTATAGCTACAGCCTACTGTAACAAGATTTTTCAAGCACTTGTTACCCAGAAAATTAAATGCCTGATTTTTTTTCTTTTTTTCCTCCCAAGATGGTGACTGCTATATGTCTGGCAGTGCCTTTTTGCAAAACTGCAGTTGTTTCCTGGAGCCTCACTTAGCCCCGGATACATTTATTAGACTGACAGCCAGGTAGACTAGGACCCCCATGAAACAGGTACAGTGTCAACACTGACAGTGTCAGCACCAGTGTAAACCTTCACTGAGACTTTTACCTGTAGGATGAAGAGGGGACTTCAGTTTGGGCATTCGGTGCTCCCTTGTTCTGAGGTGCCCTGAGAAATAAAGACTCTGCGTTTCAGAAGAAATGGTGCTGCTGTGTTAGCAGGTAGCGGATGCACTGCCCGGGTCATGGTGGAGGAACTGGAGCGTGTGTCAGCCCAGCTCACCCACCTCCAACCGTGCTGCAGTGTGCCTGAGCTCCTGGGGAAAAGGCCACCACGGGGAAGGAGCGCTGGCTCCTGCAGCTGTGAACCACCTTCTGTGCTCAGCCCTGGCCTGCAGTCTGGTGTGTTAGCTCTGCATGAGGCCACATCACCTTTTCAGGTGCCTGTCTTAAGTGTTCTCCATTTCATGCTAAGACGTCTCTCTGCAGACTACAACAAGGACCTCAGGTCCCTGGTTTTAGCACCTTTGAAAGTGCTTGAAGCAACATGTGGATACACAGGGTTTCAGGATACACAGGATATCCTACAGCACCTTGACAGCTAAGGCACAGAAAAAATATCTGTTATTCCTAGTAAGTATAAAAATCCACTGGTGGAAAGTTTTGATTTAAAAAGCGAAAATTGAATGTAAAGAATCTAGGGTTTAATCCTAAATGCCTCATTTTACTAAGATGAGTAGTGGGTTGAGCAGTTCTATTAATTTTCTTGAAAACTGCTTGTTACCTCAAGCTGCTTGTTTGCTTGTTAAAGTTAGACGTACAGTGAAATATTGATACATGAAAGCTCAGTGCTTTGGGTCCTCTGTCAAAGAACACAAAGGACTTAAAGTGGGTCTCAGTATCTCACACTTCAACTTACTCATGGGGAGAAGGAGCAAGTCGTTTGACTTTGTACATCAAAGCTCCTTGGTAGACCAGTAGCAGAGAAATCAGGTCTCTTGCACCCTACTCTTGCACTTGTGTCGCCCCACCGCACTGCTTGTAACAGACCTGTTACTTCTAGTTCTAGTAAGTGATATCATGGCATCATAATAATTGAAGTGTGGAAAATGTTGAAATGTATCTACTGCATTAACATTATTCATTTTCTTTTAGAGGGAACAAACATTTCAATAACACATCGCTGCCTGTTTCCACTGGATAGAAAATAAAAGACATTAAAGAAGGAGGATTGAGACTCGGGGGGCGGAGGGGAGGAGAGTGAATGTATTAAAATTAATAGTCTCTCCAAAAATCCCCTAGAATTCTCTTGGATTTTTTAAAAGCTTTCCCTTCTCCCACAAGACTTGATGCTAGCTATGCAAAACTGCTCTGCAAATAATGCAAGAAATTTCTGCTGATATTTTGCACAAGACACAAATTTCATTTGATCTTTGTCCTGCCTCACTTTACACAGCTAATTTAGGACTGTAAGTTACAACTCTGGGCTCCAGAGATTCCCTTTATGTCTGTAGAGAGACTTCTTGGAAAATGATATAAGAGCAAGATACTACCTTAGGTGCTTTGAATATTACCTCAAACCTTCTTTCTCTCCTTCGGCTATACACAAACCGTACATCTAACTTAAACAATTCTAAATTTTGAACAGGATATGCTTCTCTAAATTACTTAAAACTGTTAGTCTCACTTCTATTTACAAGTCAAGAGGGAGAGAAACAACAATTAATTTTTTATCGTGTTGGTACGGAGATTTTAATCAATGGTTTTCTTAAAGTTTCCAAAAATGGTGTGAATCTCTTTTGTGCTTATTAGGATTAAGATTAATGAAGAGGACTTTGTCGCCAGTAAGTACTAAATCTCATTTAGAAATCTAATTTTTGGGATAACTTATTTTAGAGTTTTATCGACTTTGAGCCTGCTTTGCAGCTCTTTTGTCTTTACTTTGTAAAGCTATTTAGCTTTACAAATATATATATATATATGTATACAAATATATATTTATGTATAATGTCATGCATTTTCCTTTGTGTACTTTTTAATTAAAGAGAATTTTTTCATGGTGTTCTTTTCTTAGACAGAATATAATTTATTGAAATTGCTGGCAAACCTCCTAGATAAATAATTTTTATATTCCCAGATACTCTGAAGCAGATACCCAGCTTCTAAGTAGCTGAATCAGTTCCTATTTGCCTATAGCTCTGGCAGCTTTCCAGTAAAGTCACAGAAATTAATGTTGCGAAAGATAAATAAGTCCATCAAGCTTGCTGGAGAGTAAGGAGAGCACAGGTTTATGTTCCACACAGTTTGCTAGAGCTTTGTTCTTCTATTTGCAAATGTTCTAAGAAAATGAACTTTCTTGCTTTAAATATCTGGGACCTTAATCACTTCACCACTTAGCATTTTAATTATTTTATATAACCATGACATATACCTCTGTGCCAAAGAAATGATTTTGTCTATATTTTACAGGTGTAAAGATTTACATCCTCAGTTCTGCTGGTGAACAGCAATTAATGGGTTTGCTCAGCCTCGTACAAGGCAGCCTTTGGTGGAGCTGGGAACTGGTGGTTATGTTCCTTGCCCTTTCCCAATAAATGGCTGCAATATAGCACACAGAACTTTGCATATTGAAGCAAATGTCTTTCTAAAAAAAAGGCATTTCTTTAGCTTGGAAGTAGCTTTTGAATAAACCAAAGAACTCCAAAAAGCACTTAGCAGGTGGCAGTTGGTGTCAGTATAGTGGATTTTGAATGGTATTCCAAGATTCCCTTTAAAACTGAACCATGTTGTCATTTGAAAGCAAGGAGAGATGCACTGACAAACTCTCATGTTATTAAATGTGCAGCAACAATAATGTCTTTAGTCATGGCTTTAATAGCTGTGTAGTGTATACATTACTTTTATGTTGTTAAAGCCACTCCCATCTTACAAGGTGCACGATCCCGGCATCCTCCTTCATCCTCAAGATGAAATTTTGGTATAGAATAACTTAGTTCTTGATGTCATTTATAGTACTCTGCATTAAATGCAGCCCCACTGGAAGTGAACTCTCAGAAAACGCACCTTTAGGGATGAATTCTTCAGTGTTGGTCCAGAAATGACTTCATATTTTAAATTAATATTCTGATACCTTCACTCATATCTCAGGTATTCTAAGGCTTTCTCTTTGGATGAAATTCTTCTTTTGCTTACAAAAAAAAAGACTTCACAAGGTGGTGAGATCTCTGTTTGCTATTAAAGACACTCACTGATATATAAGCCTGTTTATGAATTGATCCAGTTGTTTTTTTTGTTTCAGAGAGTTCTGTTGATCCAGCTATTTTTCTTATTTTTTCCCACTCTGTTCATACTATAAGTGAATTTCTGTTCTGAGTATTAAAGAAACATCACCTTCTAGTTTGCAATGTAAATGTATTTGTGGGTTGTGCTTTCACTCATTTGTTCTCTTGCCAACATTGCCTATTTGCTTTAATTGTTCTCCATGCTTGGTATACATGCATATTTCTAGACCACCACCACTCTGAACTTTTCTAGTCATCCCTTACATGGTAGGAAATAATACTGTGAGCAACATTTCAGGTGAAATCCTACTGCTCTGTACAGTGATGTTTTACTTCTGCTCTGTTAAAAAACTCCTTACCTAAAATATTTGCCTCTTTCATGGCCACAGTTTATGGATAGTTCACATTTGTTTCCTGTGATGAAATAATGAATCCGAAACACTCTCCTCTTGGGCTGTTTCATACTGAGTAGCCCTCACTGTAGAGATTCACATCCTATTGTTAATCTCCAAATTAATGACTTCAGATTCTGTACTGTTGAATTCTGCACTATTTGTATTATTTCAATCCTCAGAATGATCCGGTTTTCCTAACTGATTGTAGCCAGGCTTTTATCATCAAGAACTAACCCTGGTACATTCATCTTGATGCAGCTCTCTGGGACCTGGAGGTCAGACTTAAGGCTATCCTGGCAGTATAAGCAGGGATCTGTTGTAAATCTTATCCTAATACATTCTTCTATACATCAATAAAAAGTAGTTTATGTAGGTTTGCAGGTGGCAAAAAGAAAACTTAAAATCCATATAATGGGCAAAATGCCATACTTTACTCTTTTTGAAACCAAAATATTAAGGTTTATTAGAGCTTTTTTCTTTGCAAAAAATAGTGGATAAGTAAGCAAACGGAAGTCCAAATACATTTGGAACCAGTATCAATAAAAAAATTACTGTATTTTTATGCAACTATCTGCAACAATCATTCTGAAGTTCAGAGGAATTAAAATACGCTATGAAGTTATTTGCTATAACAATATATACTCTCTGAGATAACACCTCCGTGCAGTTCTTCTGAGATTTCTTCTCAGGCTAACACAGGTCATGCAGAGTTCAACATACATACCTCAAGGACATCATAAAAAGTCATTTCTAAAGTCATTGTATTCAGTACAGCCTGAAGGCTGATATGTTAAAAAAAAAAAAAAAACTTTTTTCCTCCTTGAAAGGAGAAACAAAAGAAGGGATCTGGAGAAAAAAATCAGCAAAATTAAATTACTAG